TTCCTGCTGTCTTCACCTACAGGGCTGGTGTGAGAATAGAAACACCAGAAGTATTAATGTCTTCATTAGGCTGGAAGATTTTGTAGAAAAATTAGGTGGCAGTATGACTCTACAGTATTTCTAAAAGACTTTATTCCTCACTCACTCATACATTTAGGAACTTAGAATGACTGAATGAAACTCATTTAAATTATTAATTACTGTTTCTGCTCATAGGGAGCTTGATGCATTTGGATCAATAAATTAGGGCAATGGGATGAATTTCAGAATCATTGAAAATTTATTCTTTTTTCTTTTTAAAAAAATTTTTTTTGAAGTATATAATTAAAAATTTAAAGAGTAAAAGTTATGGCAGTTGACATATTGAGATCTGTTTGCCTGTGACCTCCACTTGAGTCAGATAAAATGTAAAAGCTTAGACTTCTGAGACATTGCAGAGTTTAAGCCTCAAAGGGAAAAAAATGGTCCAAATTACGTTAAATGAATGAAAGATTATTTTCCTTAAAAATCCATTGGGTTGGGCTTCCCTGGTGGCGCAGTGGTTGGGAGTCCGCCTGCCGATGCAGGGGACGCGGGTTTGTGCCCCGGTCTGGGAGGATCCCGTGTGCCGCGGTGTAAGACATCCCAGTCAGGATGTCCCCAAGTCCAAGTCTTCCAACCTTCATTGGACCCTCTTCCCTCTAAAAAAAAAAAAAAAAAAAAAAAATCCATTGGGTTATCATACTCAATTAATCTCTTCCAGATTTTCAAGCACTTTTCAGTGTCTGCATGCTAATAAAATTTCTGATTCTTTTTTCTTCCTGAAGTGTAATTATAATGCTGTGCACCTTGCATTTTTTGTTCTGAACCAGCCCCTTCGCCTTCTCCCCCAACCCAAGCTCCTGAATTCACCAACTTGCTAAAATATACTCCTGACTGGAATAGATGCTCTTTAAGAATTGTATATACAACAATTTAAGCATTTGAATATAAGTGGTTTAATTGTAAAGTTCTGTCCTTGATGTAAGATAGGTATATGATAGAATTCATTAGTTTTTTTGGTTTGTTTTTTTGTGGTACACGGGCCTCTCACTGTTGTGGCCTCTCCCGTTGCGGAGCACAGGCTCTGGATGCGCAGGCTCAGCGGCCATGGCTCACGGGCCCAGCTGTTCCGTGGCATGTGGGATCTTCCCGGACCGGGGCACGAACCCGTGTCCCCTGCATCGGCAGGCGGACTCTCAACCACTGTGCCACCAGGGAAGCCCGAATTCATTAGTTTTTCATCATAGATTTTCCTTATAATGTATGTTACATTACAAACGTCTAGAAAAAAGAGCAAGATTTAAGAAAATTTAAAATAAAGACACTAAAGTTTTCTTCCTACATTCTCTTATCAACTTTTAAGATTGATTTGAGAAACTGAGATCAAGAGTAATTGTCCTCTACATTTTGCTTATTATTATAGGAGCATTTACTATAAATTGGAAGTGTCATTTTTGAATTTCTGACTTAATCTGATAGTAATAAAACTGTCACTAGGTCTATAATCCAAGACATTTTGGAAGAAGCAAGTATTAACTCAATTTTATAAGGCATTTGGTCAGTAAGAAAATAAGGTATAATAATCATAGACTAGAAACCCTGAATATTGAGGAAAAAGTTCATCACCAGGACACCAGATGCTTTTAATCTTTTGAAGCTTCCTGCTTTAGCAAAGTTCTGATATTTGGTAAAAATTGATCATTGTTGACTATTATGGAATCCTATTTCATTGCTTCTGCAGTGGTTTTGTAAGGGTCAGTGGGAAGTTTTTAGGAGACACATGCGTTTGGTCAACGGCAATGGTAGCAGTCCCGGGGGACATCGACAGCAGCCAACTATCAGGGAGTGTCATCCAGCCCGTCACCAACTGTTAGAGTACAGCTTTCTCAAATTGCTTTCAGCCTATTTGGATACTTACATGCCAGCTTATTAATAGTAAAATAGCCAACAAGCATCTCTACATTTGCCCACTGAATGCTGCATGTTTATTTCCTTTTCCATATTATTTCATAGGTGATTCTCAGGTTGGTTTGGGTCTTTTTATTGGAATTATGACATCTTATCGATTTTACTTTTCCTTTCAATTTCATGATTCTTAACTCCAAAGTGCTTTTGCTTATGGAAAGGGAAAGATAAATTTGGATTGAAGACCACCAGCAAACCCAGTCTGGATCATAAAGACTCTCATAGCCATCCTAAGGGGCCCTTTATCAGCCAAGACTGGAGTGGCCTCATCTTTAGTTCATGGCCATAGTGTCTGAAGAAATTTCCATCAGCGTAAATACGCCTTGTATGTGAGCTGCCTGGAGCTCTAAATATCTAACCAGTTCCCATCAGGAACACACTGAAGTTTCTGAGGCTTGTTAAGAATAAACTTAAGGGTTCTTAATTGACACATTTTATATCCATCAGTATCCTACCCTTGAGGTATAGAATTCAGTCTTACTCTGTTATTTGTTGTACTATTCTGTTATATTTCTGCTTAGTGCAGAAGAATATTGAAAACACAAAACCTTTCTCTAACAATGTATTCAGATTTAAATACTATTTACTATAATATCAGTCAGGGATTTATCAAAGCCAGATGTGAATCTGCAGGGACATATTAGGCATGATAATTAACTCCTCTTAGAATATGAGAAAAGATTCCCTGACTCTAATTTTTAATAAATATTAAAATACAAGGTAGAAGAATATGAGAAGTGAAGTGAATACCCTTGACTGGGCAAGAGAGTATGAAGTTTAAAATTAAAGAAAGCATAGGAGATGATGAAGGCGTCTGGTCCGCAGGCTTCACCCAGCTGGAGATCTGCTTACAGTTGTGTTAAGGTTAGAAAAAAGGCCAAGTTGGCAAGATTTAAATTTGGTTAGATTTGAAAACAACTTGCAACTAGATATATCCTTATTTCTGATTTGACGATATGGATTAGTAGATAATTAAATTATGCTAATCAGGTGCTTATGCTGGCAGTGCAGACAAAATAAACATGTCATTTCTTCTTAATGAAGTCTATATTTTGGACGTTACTGTTTCAGTGTATATTTGTCATTATGAGATTTGTTTTCATTGAGGCAGTGTTCAACTTGAGTTGGAAAATTCTCAAGTGAAGTTTATTAACTCACTTCGTATTGATATTTAAACCAATAAACCTGAAATACATAATGATAATCTATTATATATTGTCCATTAGTATTTCTGTATGCCCTTCCTAACTGCAGAATGAATGAAAATATGATGTTGGAGGGTCTTTTTTTTTTTAAGTTGATCTTGTGACTCAAATGCTTTACTAAAGTAGGAGACTGACATTTCTTCTTTAATCTGAGATCAATATACACTCTGTAAGATTGAACAAGAGGAACCTCAATATTGATCACTCTAATTCAATGAGCTTCTATCCTCTGAAAAAAGAGCTTTTCATTGGGAAGGTCAAAGCAGCCTAGTGTTAAAAATCCGTGTACTTTCTGTAAACTAAGATAGGCTCACACAGTATGTTCTTTAAACAGAGACAGGAAGAAATTGAAATAGGAATATCACATTGTCAGGAGTGAATCTAGTAGTATCACCCAGATATTTTGAGGTTCTGGAGTCCGAAAGATGGTTTGTGCTCTGCTTTTTCTAGGGATGATAAGGCACGTGTCTGTGAGGGGAATACTCCCAACTGTCCTTTGTAAACAGAGATCACAGGCACTACATTACTTAAGCTCCAGAAATTCACACGGCCTTCCATTATTGTAAGGCTTTCGGTCACCTCTGATAGGAAACTCCTGGTGGCCCCCAGTGTAACCAGCATTAAAACGAAGACACTGTGAACAGACTCTATCTCTTATGTAAATGGCTGGTTACTATAGCTTGACTGACTCTTCATTCTTCGGAATAGAGAAGCATTTTCAGTGGTTTGCTTTAATGTTGAGGCTTTGTCAAATTTCTGCTTCAACCCCATTCTTTTCAGATCTAAACGAGTGTGGCCTGAAGCCGCGGCCCTGCAAGCACAGATGCATGAACACTTACGGCAGCTACAAGTGCTACTGTCTCAACGGATACATGCTTATGCCGGATGGATCCTGCTCAAGTATGTCAAGAATCTTAACTGCTTTGGGCTTGACTTCATGCTGTGCTCTGGGAGTGTGTGAAAAGTGGCCTCCTAGCCCTCCTCCTAAACAGGATGTGAGCACGTGTTTGTATGTGTGCCTAAGGAATGGAAAATCAAAATAAGAGTTACCCGTTGTAGATGTCTAACATTCTTTTGTCAGGGGTGCCAATGTTAAATTGATTCGGAAATAGTCTTTAGAACAAGAATCACAAAACTAATGTATTTTCTAACGTTTTTCCTAGCACTTTTCCGCTTGTCTTCTATCTGGGCATAGAACTATTCCATGTAAAGAACATTGGTGACCATTTGAGGGCTGTTGTGCTCTTGGTAAGGATGGACACTAAATTATTTGCTGCAAGAGAATCCATCCAGCCTAGTGATTGAGTATAAACCGTCCATAAGTACCTCCTCACTTCATTTTTTTTTTTTTTTTTTTTTTTTTTTTTATGTTTAAAATCTTAATTAGGGCTTCCCTGGTGGCGCAGGATAAACATAAAATAGAAAAAAGGCCAGAAGACACATTAAAGAGAAAGATAAACAAGGTAATATTTAAACAAAACATTGAAAACTAATTTAGTGGCATGTTGCTTCTAATTAAGATTTTTTTTTTTTTTCCCGGACGCGCAGGCTCAGAGGCCATGGCTCATGGGCCCAGCCGCTCCGCGGCATGTGGGATCTCCCTGGACCAGGGCACGAACCCATGTCCGCTGCATCGGCAGGCGGACTCTCAACCACTGTGCCACCAGGGAAGCCCCTCACTTCATTTTTACATTTCTTTATAATAGTCTGAAGACTAAGTTTTTTTCTTTAAAAAAAACCTACTTCAAATAAAAAAAATGATTATAATAACATAAAAGTAGATTTCATGCGTGTCTTTGTAAGAAGGAAATGGATGGTGTTTCCTACTATCATTTTGATGTGTTTATAAAACAGACAATGGCCTGAAATTCTCTGCAGGCTGAACGTTGAATTGAGATTGTGGTTATATGATATCCAACAATTGATGACTTGATTTTTAATTTTACTGAACTGTCAGTTAAATTGGTTAATTATCAATCAGTTAATTATCAGTTATCTCTCTCTAACTGGGTTGCATTTTATAAAATAAAAAAGGTTAGCTAATTTTATTTATCATTACATATTTAGCATGGAACTTTTTGCAATAAGGTGAGTTCATGTTTATTAACATGTGGCAGTGATGCTAGAATCCTCTAACATTGTACAACTCAGTGGGAAATCTGCTGTATCTGGAGAAGTTTAATGGATGGTTGAGACAGTTACTTGGATGCCTTAGTTAAGACCAGCACTTAACATGAGTAATCTGGAAAAATACCTCAATGCTCCAATTTCCTTGGCCACTGGAAAAGCTTCCAGATAATCTCTGTGAGATAAAGTTTTACATTTGTCTTTTATTTCTTCAAATACATTAAAGGTCTTCCCCAGATGCTAACAGAGCTGGTTCACTTCTTAATTATCCCTGAGGGAAGAAAGTCTTTGTGTTCTTCCTCCTATTTTTGACTTTCTTTAGACTGTTGGAGAACTAAGCCCTTTTCATCTGCATTGTTGATTCAGTGTCACTGATTTCAGGACAAGTAGAAAACATAGTTATATTAGGTACAGAGTATGCTCTCTACCTCTCTCGGACAGTCTCTGTCTTTCCAGGCGCCCTGACGTGCTCCATGGCAAACTGTCAGTATGGCTGTGATGTTGTCAAAGGACAAATTCGGTGCCAGTGCCCCTCTCCTGGCCTACGGCTGGCTCCTGATGGGAGGACCTGTGTGGGTGAGTTGTAAAATCAAGCATCTCTATCAGCAGCCTCTCTAGGGTAAGGAAGAAAGTGAAATGTCATGGCAGGAAGGAAAAAGGGCAGTTACTTAACATCAGGTAATTAGCTATCCTTTAGACAATATCAGATGTCTCAGAAGGGGACCTCTCTCTGTGAAAAGACCGTGGAAACTTCGTTTCCCAAAAAAAATGAGGGACAGGAGGAAGCTTCAGGCAGAGGAAACCACACATGCAAAGGCATCGAAGTTTAGAGGGAGCATAATATTCAGGAAACAAGAAGAGCTCAGTATTTCTAGGACATAAGAGGCAATGAGTATTGAAGCTGAGCTGGTAGACAGGGCTAGACTGTATGTGTTGCACTAAAGGGTTAGTTTTTTTTTTTCCCCCCTGTAAATTAGGAAGGCAGTAAAAGATTGTGGTTAAGGGTCTGGACTTTGATTTTAAACCTGGCTCTGCCATAGACTTGATATGTAACCTTAGGTAAGAGGCTTCCTTTCTTGGAGCTTCAGCCTTCTCATCTTTAAAATGGGAGTAGTGTCCTTGTGAGGATTGAATGAGATCATGAATGCAAAGAGCTTAGCACGGTACCTCACATGTAGTAAGCACTGAATGAATGGAGGTGTTTGGGGGCTCAAGAGATATTTACTGAGTACTTTCTATATACCAGGCACTGTGCTAAGTGCTAGGATATAGAGTAATGGACAAAGCAGACAAGATTTCAGTCCTCTGGAAGAGGCAGAAAAGAAAGAAATATTCAGTAAAATTACAAACAATGCCAAGTGTTAATATGAATAACTAAGAGAGTGAAAAACAAAAAGGATCTATTTTAGAAAATAATGGTCAAGGAAAGCCCTGAAGTAAGACATGGGCCATTGGCCACATGAAGAATCAGCCAAGCTGGTGAAAACGTTGCAGAGCACTGCAGTGAAAGAGAGCTTGGTCTGTCTGAGGTTCTGAAAGAAAGAAAACCATATCCTTAAGTACAGAGTATGGGGGGTGGTGGCTTGAGATACGGCCAGTGAGGTGGGTGAGGACTGTTTATTACAAGGTCGTCAAAGACGTGGTGAGGAATGAGGAATGAATTCAGAAAGCAGGTTGAAACAGTTGAGAGTTTTGAGCATGGGAACAGTCCCTTCTTATGTCTTAATAAAATCATTTGTTGACAGTTGAGTGGGAATGCTTTGGAGAGGCTCAGATTGGCAGGGAAAAGGCCAGTTTGGAAGCTCTTGGAATAGTCTATCCTGGGAGATGGTGGCTTGAGCTAGGGTAAAGGCAGTGGGTGAAGAGCAGAGTAAATGAGTTCAAAGAATTTGTCAGAGGTGGAATCAGCTGAGGTTAAGGGAAATATGGTTGTCAAGGATGACTCATGTTTCTAGTTCGAGCAACTGTGGGGCGGGGGATACAGGTGCAGTACATGCCGAGATATGGTACAAGAGGAGGACGGCTTGGGTTAGAAGGATGAGTTGAAATTTGGAGATATGGAATTTATGTTGCCTGTCAGGGCAACCAGCTGGATAACATTTATGATGAGCCACTATGTGCGCACAACCATTTGCAGATAGTAGTGTATTTTAAAAGCTCCTCCATCTGAACGTGCTGTTGCCCTTCCTAAGACGCAGTTGGCTTATGTTTCTAGACATTGATGAATGTGCTACTGGAAGAGCCTCCTGCCCTAGATACAGGCAGTGTGTCAACACTTTTGGGAGTTACATCTGCAAATGTCATAAAGGCTTCGACCTCATGTACATTGGAGGCAAATACCAATGTCACGGTAATGAACCCCAGCCCTTGCTTTGTGTTGTTTTTTCCTGTGGAGTGGAAAGGTCTCTTAATTATGGTGATGACTGGGATGTCAAGGGCAGGGGAGGGTACTGGCATTAAATTAAACAAACAGAAGTGAAACTCAAACACTAGTAGTTCTGGATGCACACTACTTTATTTCTTCTCTTTATCTGCCAATTTTACGTGAACCTTCACATTGCAAAAAAACATTTTATTTGAAACTGTGTATTTTTGGTGTAATCATATTTATCATAAAATAATCATATTTATTTTATGTGTAATCATATTTATCTCCCAAATAAACCTCTTCTTTTCCTACTTCCTGATGCAGATATAGATGAATGCTCCCTTGGTCAGTATCAATGCAGCAGCTTTGCTCGATGTTACAACGTACACGGGTCCTACAAGTGTAAATGTAAAGACGGATACCAGGGCGATGGACTGAATTGTGTTTGTGAGTCATGCTTGTCTCCCAGCTCTAAATTCCAGCAGGAAGTACAAGATTACACAAAGGCCATTACTAGGAAAGATAAGGAACAAGATTAATTATCAAACGAATATCACTTTTCATAGCTAGTAATACTAGTTTGTGATTTCCACAAACAATAAAATCACTTGCTCAGTAATTTTTAAAACTTAAAGACTCAGTAATACATTCTAATCTTAAAAGCATTCAGTTCCTTGACTAAACTCTCTCAGTAGCTTCTCCTTAGCTGGTACGAAATTATAGAGCCCTCCTTGAGAATTTGATTTTAAATGTATGTTTGTCATTAGCATTAGATTATAATGGTGGGATAATCTGAATATATTCTTTCCTCTGTTTTATGCCTCCAATTCTGCTCTTAAAAAATCATTTCCATATTTATTTTCTCTACGTTCATAACTGTTTTGCTTTTTAAATTTTTATAAGCTCTATTTGTAGTATGGCTATGTATGTCAGTAGATAAACATGAAAAAGATACCCTCCAAGATGAAAGTTTCACAAACCAAAGGCCACAATTTAGCATACATTTCATGCAACGATAGATCATTTTTTAAATTTCTGGAGTAAAATATTTACTGAAAATCATGGAGCATAAAATCATGAGGATTAAAGGATTTTTGAAGGGTCATGTAGTTATACTCCCAGTCTGGAATATATGCTTGCAAGAAGATTAAATATTAATTCCTTTTGGTGAATATAATCAAGGACAGAGTTTCCACAGGTGATCTTGGTGACCTCTGAAATTTTTTTTAAAAAGCAATTGTATAAATTAGTAAAGGGGAAGGAAAACCAAATATAAAACAGTGAGTAGAACATTTAATGAAAATGTATTTGTGTGAATTTAATTTATATAAAGTGTGGAAGAGAAAACTATTATTCTTTAGACAATTCTAAACATGATTTTATAATATACACATACCATGGAGACACTTAACATAGACTCTAAATATACATTTCTCATATTTTAAAATTTTAGAATATCTCTGCATTTAAAAATCTCATTGATTCTTCTCTCTTATCACTTTGCAAATACTTAAAACATTTTATGTTTCAGATGATACATTTCATTACAGAAAAAGAATATAATTTTTGTGTATAGCCACCAAATAGATATATGTGTGTATGAATATATATGTGTATATATTACATATACACACACACACTAATTTTTTTTGGAAAACAACCTGACTTAACAGTAGGGGAATATTCTCAATGTGAAAAGTAAGCCAGTTGGCATGAGGTATTTTGATGTGTTTGTTTTTTACAATTTGACATTTTACTTCTTAAGGTGAGAGGGTTGTACACTAATTTAAATACATTTACTGTTTTAGATATTCCAAAAGTCATGATTGAACCTTCAGGTCCAATTCATGTACCAAATGAAAATGGTACCATTTCAAGGGGCGATGGAGGACACAGTAATTGGATCCCTGATGTCAGAAGTACTAGGTGGCCTCTGAAGACACCCTATGTACCTGCTGTCATTACCAGCAGGCCCACCTCTGAGCCAACAGCAAGACCTGCCCTGAAGCCAGCACCACAGCCTGCCCCACCCACAGAACTCAGAACACCTCCGCCAGCAGCAGCCCCAGGAGGACCAACCACCAGCCTGACAAGTGTAGCGCCAGTTGCCACTGTGTCTCCAAGAAGGATTACAGTTGACAACAGGATACAGACAGAGCCTCAGAAACCCCGAGGAGATGTGTTCAGTAAGTCATAAATGTTACCACATTTTTTTGAGGGCTTCTTTTCCCAGTTTTATTGAGATGTAATTGACATACAGCACTGTATACGTTTGAGTACAGCATAGTGGTTTGGCTTATCCGTATCATGAAATGATTACCACAGTATGTTTAGTTAACATCCATCATTTCACGTAGATACAAAATAGAAGAAAAAGGAAAACACATTTTTTTCTTTGGTATGGGAACTCTTAGGACTTACTGTCTTAACAACTTCCATATAAGTTATACAGCAGGTATAACTATAGTCGTTGTTGTATATATTGTTGTATGCTACATCCCTGGTACTAGTGTATCTTATAACTGGATTTGTACCTTTTGACCACCTTCATCCTGTTTTCCCTTCCCACCACTAGTAACCACAAATCTGATCCCTTTTTCTATGAGTTTGTTTTCTTTTAATAGTCCACATATAAGTGAGGTCACGTACAGTATTTGCCTTTCTCTGTCAGATTTATTTCACTTAGCATTCTATCCTCAAGGTCCATCCATGTTGTCTCAGATGGCAGGATCGTCTCATTGTTACGGCTCACTAATATTCCACTGTAGATATGTTTATATATACCACAATTTCTTTATTCATTCATCTGTCAGTGGACACTTAGGTTCTAGTTTCCACGTCTCGGCTATTGTAAATAATGCTGCGAATGAAGAGGTGCAGATATCTCTTACGCATAGTGTTTTTATTTCCTTTGGATATATTCCCAGAACTAGGATTGCTGGATCATATGGTAGTTCTGTTTTCAGCTTTTTGCGGAACCTTCATACTGTTTTCCATAGTGGCTGCACCAGCTTAAAATCCCACCAGCAGCGCAACAGGGTCCCCTTATCTCCACACCCTCACCACCACTTGTTATCTCTTGCCCTTTTGATAAACAGCCATTCTAACAGGTATGAGGTGATATCTCATTGTGGTTTTGATTTGCATTCCCTAATAATTAATTACGCTGAGCATCTTTTCATGTATCTGCTGGCCATTTAGTATATCTTCTTTGGACAAATGCCTATTCAGGTCCTTTGCCCACTTTTTAACTGGATTATTGGATTTTTTGCTATTAAGTTGTATGAGTTCCCTGTATATTTTAGATGTTAACCCCTTGCCAGATACATGATTGGCAAACATTTTTTCCCATTCCATAGGTTGTCTTTTCGTTTTGTTGATGGTTTCTTTTTCTGTGCAGAAGCTTTTTAGTTTGATGTCATCCCACTTATTATTTTATTGCTTGTGCTTTAGGTGTCATATCAAAAAATCATTGCCAAGACCCATGTCAAGGAGCTTTCTTCCTACGTTTTCTTCTAGGAGTTTTGTGGTTCCAGGTCTTATGTTCAAGTCTTTAATTCATTTCGAGCTAATTTTTGTGAGTGCTGTAAGTTTAGGGTCTAGATTCATTCTTTTGCATGTGGCTATCCAATTTTTCCAGCACCATTTATGAAGAGACTGAATTTTCTCCCTTGAGTATTCTTGGCTCCCTTGTCAAATATTATTTGACCACATGTGCTTAGGTTTATTTCTGGGCTCTTGATTTTGTTCCATTGGTCTCTATGTCGGTTTTTATGCCAGTACAATACTCTTTGATGACTATATCTTTTTAGTATAGCTTGAAATCAGGAAGTGTGATGCCTACCACTTTGTTCTTCTTTCTCAGAATTGCTTTGGCTATTTGGGGTCTTTTGTGTTAGCACATTTTTAATAAGCTTTTTATGATGGCATTTCAACCACAGGCCATGGCTTGAATAAGAATAAAACTCATAGATACAAAGTGTAAGTTATATATCCCTATTGTTAAATATTGTAAAGAGCTATATAGAAGCCAGTCAGTTGGGCAAATAAGAATGTGAATAGAAATGGAAGGAGTATCACAAAATTATATGGTAGATCACAGCTTCTATCCAGTATGAGAATTCTAACATATTCATATTTACTTGAAAACTCTCAGAGATGGGGAGCTTAATATAACACGTGCCATTTAACTTTTAATCTAAGTGTTCATTCATTCAATCTGTAAACATTTTTAGTGTGTTTTAGAATGCCAGGCCCTATATTAGGCATTGGGCTTACAAAGGTAAAACAGAAAACCTTATAGTCTGGTGGAAAAGACAGTTGCCCCGAAGATAACTGTGGTACTGTGTTAGTGGGAGAGATTTGTGTGGGACATTATGGGGGTAGAGAGAAAGGGTGCCTAACCCATCTTTGGCTGGGGACAGTTTGGGGAGTGGGGAGGTTTCTTGAGTGAAATGGGGCAAAGGGGATGAAAAAAGGGAGGTATTATAGTTCACGGGGACCACACAACAGAGGCACAAGCGTAGGAAGCAGCACAGCATGTGCAATAAACTACCAAGAGTCAAGGATTGATGAGAAAAACTGGACAGCTACCCCTTGTATTTACTGTAAGCTGGTGGTTAAATCTAAACTGGAGCTAGGATGGATTTAAATATTCCAGATTTTTAATGGGTGACTGGGTACCACCAGTGGTGATAGAGGCTATAGGTAAAGAAGTTTTGAAGGAGGAAGAGGTGGTTCCCTTATTACCAGAAAAAAATTTGCAACTTTTCAACCTCTTTCTGAGCCTTTTAATGTGTTCTCTTTTTAAAAGTCTCTCTTGCTTCCCATTATTCCTGTCTATACCAACACACATACGAATTAAAAATAACATTGAAGGGCTTCCCTGGTGGCGCAGTGGTTGAGAGTCCGCCTGCCGATGCAGGGGACACGGGTTTGTGCCCCGGTCCGGGAAGATCCCACATGCCGCGGAGCGGCTGGGCCCGTGAGCCATGGCCGCTGAGCCTGCGCGTCCGGAACCTGTGCTCTGCAACGGGAGAGGCCACAGCGGTGAGAGGCCCGCATACCGCAAAATAAATAAGTAACACTGAAGTTCACCAACAGAATTTAGCAGGATGTAACTGGGGAGACACGGAGTTACGATGATGTTTGTGAGCACTTGTTCTAAGAGAGTGTGATCTTAAAGACATGCCCTGGGAAAGAATTACCTTGATCCCATGCCAGGGCTGTTGCATGCCACAGATAGCATTGCTGCCTCTGGATATTCCTGCCAAAAATTAAATTCCACTCTCATTTCATCTTCAGCCCTAGCTGCTGGTTAGTCAGCATGGATGAGGATATTTTGGACACTTCTTAATTTGCTGTCTGGAGACTTTAGCATATATTCCAAATAAGGGAGTGGTTCTGTTTTTAATTCAGAACAAATAACTAGTATTTATTCATTGTGAAAACAGAAAGGAACCTTAGCACTATTTTAGTTCAACACCATTTATTCATTGACTGTTTTCTTCATTTCTGGCATAATAATTTCTTAAGCCATCCTTATTCTCCACTGGTCTGAGAGTAGACTTTGGCTCTCCTCATTCCATGAATTTTCAGGTGATGTTAATTACAGCCACTGTTGAGCAGTCTCCAAATAGCCCCATACTTGAGTTGTGTTTTTCTTTACATTGAAAGATATATATATGTTTAATGGAAGAGGTTGTTAAACAGAACTTTCCTCTGTGATGTGTGTGTGTGTGTGTGTGTGTGTGTGTGTGTGTGTGTGTGTAGGTATGTATTGTCCCCCAAGAAAAGGCTATAAAGATATTCTAAAATGAAATCAAGGAAGAAAAACAATTATAGCACAAGTACATCTCTAGCCCAGACTTCTCCCCAAACTCTAGGCTTGTATATCACCTGCCTGTTTAACTGCTCTAGTTGGAGGAAGATACATGTTTCAAACTCAACTTGTCTAATCATTCCTGATCGTCACCCCAGACACATTCTACCCACAGCTTTTCCCACCCCAGGAGATGGCACCTCCATCCTACCAATTGCTAAGGCCAAAGAACTTGGAGTCATTTTAAATTACTTTTTATACCCACATCGAAGCTGTATGGAAATCCTGTCAGCCCTGCCTTCAAATTATATCTGAAGTGTAGCTACTGCTCACCATCGCCAGGGCTACCAGTCTGGCCCAGGCCATACTTCCCCCTGGTGCACAGGTCCAAAATCCTCTTTCCAGATAAGTAATACAGCATTTTTTTAGATTTTAGAAAAGTAATAAGGTGCATTTGCTGTATAGCACACACTGAAGCATATTAATGTTTCTACAGGGAAACATAAATATTTACACTAATTTGGCTACTAAAGCCATTTAAGTTAGGTTAAGTGAAGGTTAGATTTGCCACCTAATGAGTTTATGGAAGCAGCTTTTGGATTTGAGAATGACGGGTGAGGACCCGCGGATCTGTACTGCGGTAGCCTTCCAGCCAGTCTGCCTGCTCCCACCCTTGTCCCTCTGCTGTCTCTCCTCAACCCAGCAGCCAGAGTCATCTTTTAAAACTTAAATGAGATGTCATTGTTCAAAGCTCTGCATTAGCACCCACTTCCTTCAGTGAGAACAGAAGCCCTCCCGGCAGCTTCCAAAGTCCTCAGATCACATCTCCTAGCACTCTTCCCCTCATTCACTTCACTCCAGCCTCCTCACTGTTCCTCCAGCTTCTCCCATCTTAGGATTTTTGCTCCAGCTCTTCCCTCTTTCTGGAACACTCTTCCTCCTGCTATTAGCTTGTCTCACTTTCTCACCTCTTCATGCACATCTCAACTTGCCAGTGAGGCCACTCTGACCCCCCCTCTTCAATACTGTGACCTCTGCAGCCACTGCCAGCACACCTGATCTCACAACTCTCTACTGCTTTTTAAAATAGCATTTATCACCTTCTATATCTTGTTTACTTATTTATAATGTCTATTTTTGTCTCTTCTGACTAGAATATAAGCTTTTTGAGGGGCAGGGGTCTTTCTCGGTTTTGCTCATTAGTATATCTCAAGAACCTAGAATAATGCCTGGCACATAATCAGCAATTGAATACTATTTGTGGGACATAGAAATGAATGATTAGATCAATCACTCATGGCATTTTAAAATAAAAATTATCATCATGTAATCAATTTCCATATGCAAGCTAGTTGAGTAACACAT